AGAAAACCACTGTGGTGGCAGGGGGAGATGTGCTTTTGGACAGCTGGTCACTACACTTTGATGGATGGTACCAGTCAAAGTGTTTTGTAGGGTGGTAGCAGTGTAATCTGTCACAGGTGGCCTCAGCAGCACCAGGAGTATTACAGCAAGATGCATGCTTGTCAACTGCAGCAGACTCCTAGCAGGTGCTGAGGTGCCTGCCTTCATGAAGGTGTTCACAGCAGGGGTAGAGTCAGCATAACTTCAGGGGTCAGCAGGCTCCCATTGGCAACTGTGTACATTGTTGCACTGGTGGTGGTGATAGTAGGGGGCAGAGCACTGGTGGGTGCAGGTGTGTGTGCACCCTCTGTGGCTGCTCACGACAGATGGGGGTTCATTGTTTTCAATGCCTAGATTCATTCAGATGGCAGTGTTGGCACAGGGCAGGTAACTGACTGAGGCAGGACTGGCATGTTCTGTGCCCACTATAGCTCTGACTACAATGGCAGTATGGCAGAGGAAGGGGAGCAGAGTGCACTCCTGCTGGCAGCAGAGGCAGGGCAGGGTGTACATGCAGACACAAGCTGGTGAGGCAGGGAAGGGAAAATCTACCTGCACACATACAAGCCAGCAAAATGATGTCAGGGGGCAGGGTGGTTGGCTTTGGGCTTGGAAGAAGCTGCAGCAGAGGGAGAGAGCAGGCAAGCTGGTGCATGACCCTAGGGGATACTTCACTGGAGCTTTCCACCAAGTAGGTATGGTCTTCCAGTGCAGGATTTAAGATGTGGGCCCCCAGGGAAACTGAAGCTATACTGCAAGCAGAAAAGGCCAGGCTGGGGCATTGGGAGAGGTCAGAAGACCAGGGGGTACTAAGGTTGGATCTGCTCCATCTGATGGGTAACACTACCCTTCAGAATTCATGTCTGACAGTTCCCCTAGGGCTAAAGTCCCCTGTGGAAGAAAGTCAGCCTGGAGGGATGGTCATCTGTGGCCGTGCTTTGCTAAAGATGTTTCTGCACAAAACCCTCTGGGCTCCATGTCAGCTAGCATGTTTCCCCTACCACTCCTCTAAGTAGCTCTCCCTGCCAACTCAAGTGTCTGTGATGGTTGAGGAGTCTTCTCCTAGTAAGATTCCAGAGGCTCGTGGCAAGAGTGGGTTGCTCCTTGCCAGTTCAACTCACCCATTCCCCCAAAGTTGTTGGGGGCCAGGAACAAGTTCCAGTGCATGCTAACCCTGTTTAGGGTTCCCAGCTGCCTTTCCCTTCTCTCCAGCTTTTGTGGACCTGTTAGGAGTATGCCAGTCATCCAAATTCAACAGTGACAGCTGTTCCACCTGGCAGCATCTAGACCAAATTGACAGTTTCTTACAAAGCTAAGCATAGCCTTACCATATGATTATACTCCTAGACATTTACCCAACTGATTTGAAACATATGTATAGACAAAAACCCACTCATGAATGTTTACAGCAACTTCATTCCCTAACAGCCAAAAATTGTAGACAACCACAATATTCTTCAACAAGTATATGAGTAAACAAACTGTACTATATTTACAATAGACAGTTATTCAACAATAAAAAGGACATGAACTACCAAGCTATTAAAATAATGAGTGAATTTTAAATGCATAATGCTAGCTGAAAGAAGCTAGTTTTGAAAGGTTATATACTCTATGACTCCAATTAAATGACATTCTGGAAAAACTAAAACTATAGAGACAGTAAAAGACTGGTGATTGTCAAGCTGAATAATTTAAGTTGAAGAACTTTTTAGGGTGGAGAAATTATTATGTCTAATACTGTAGAAATGAATATATGACATGAATATGTCAAAAACTATAGAAAAAAAACTTAATTTGTTTAAGTTTTAAGAACTATACTATAACAAATTGGATAACCTTGAAGAAATAGATAAATTTCTGGACACAACTTGTCAAAATTAAGAAGAAATAAAAATCTGAACAGATCAGTAAGAAATAAAATAGTTTTAAAAATCTCCCATTAGTTTAAAAAATCTCCCAGCAAAGAAAAGCCCAGGACCTAATGGATTATGTTTTAAATTTTACCAAACACTTGAAAAAGAACTAATATCAATTTATCCCAAACTCTTCCAAACATTGAAGAGGAGGCAACTCCATACTCATTTTATAAGGCCTGCATTACTCTGATACCTAAGCCACAGAAGGATACTAAAAGAAAAATTCAATACACTATCTTTGATGAACATAGACGCCAAAGTACTAACATACTAAATCTGACAGCACATTAAAAGGATCATTCACTGTTATTAAGAACAAGGATATTTGAACACATGCAAATCAATAAATGTGATATACCACATTGACAGAATGAAAGGCAAAAACCATATGATTGTCTTAATAGATGCAGAAAAGGCACTGACAAAATTCAATATCCTTCATGACAAAAACTTCCAACAAATTACACTTAGAAGGAACCTACCTCAGTGATAAATGCCACATATGACAACCCACAGCTAATATCATATTCAATGGTGAAAAATTGAAACATTCCTTCTAAGCTCAGAAAGAAAATAAGGATGCCCATTCTCACCACATCTATTCAATATATTACTGAAAGTACTAGCTAGAATAAATAGGTAAGAAATAAAAGGCAACCAAATTGGAAAAGAAGAAGTAAGTTGTCTGTTTGCCGATGACATGACTTATATAAAGAAAATCTTAAAGATGTCAGCAAAAAACTTTTAGAATAAATGATTTCAGTAAAGCTGCAGATTAAAAAATGAACATACAAACACTAGTGGTATTTCTATACACTAACAATGAATTATTTGAAAAGAGAATCAAGAAAACAATCTTATTTATAATAACTACAAAAAAATTTTAAAAATACTTAGTACTAAATTTAACCAAGGAGGTGAAAGCTCTTTACACTAAAAGCTGTAATATATTGACAAAATAAATGGAAAAAGAGAATTAAAAGTAAATACATTTATGTACATGAATTTCAAAAATATTGTTAAAATATCCAAAATAATTAGATTACCTACAGATTCAGTGCAGTCCCTATTGAAATTCCAACAGCATTCATCACAGAAATGTTATAAACAAAACCAAATTTGTATGTATTCATAAAAGACTCCAAATAGCCAAAGTAATTTTGAGAAAAAGGAACAAAGCTGGAAGCATCACACTCACTCGCTATTTCAAACTCTATTACAAAGCCATAGTAATTAAAACAGTATAATACCATAAAACATGACACATACCAATGGAACAGAGTAGGGAGCCCAAAAATAAATTCACACATATATGAACAACTAAGATTTGACAAGGGTGCCAATAATACACAGTGGGAAAAGAAAAGTCTATTTAATAATGGTGTTGAAAAAACTATCCACATGCAAAAGAAAGAAACTTAAGTCTTGTCTTATGATATATACCAAAACTAACAGGAAATGAGTTAAAGATATAAATTTAAAACCTGAAACTGTAAAACTACCAGAAGAAAACACAAGGAAAAACTCCCTGACAATAGTCTTGGCAATCATATTTTGGATACGACCACAAAAGCACAAGCAACAAAAAAAAAACAAGTGAGACTATATCAAAGTAAAATTTCCACTGCACCACAAAAGAAAACAATTGACCAAATTAAAAGGCAATCTACCAGATGGGAGAAAATATTAGTAAACCATATGTATGATAAGGTGTTGATATTCATGGTACATTAGGAAGTACATAAGTCAATAGCAAAACAAAAACTTAATTTTTCAATTGGCAAATATTTGAATAGATATATTACCAAAACAGACATAGAAATAGTCAACATGTATATGAAAAGGTGCTCAACATCATTAACCACTGGGAAAATGCAAATTAAAACCACAATGAGATATCACCTCATACCTACTGGAATGGCCATTATGAGAAGACACATGATAACAAATGTTGGTAAGGATGTGGAGAAAGGGGAACCATTTTACACTACTGGTGGGAATGTAAATTGGTACAGGCATTATGGAAAACAATACAGGAGTTCCTCCAAAAATAAAAGATAAAACTTCTATATGTTCCAGCAATCTCACTTCCAGATATATACGTAAAGGAAATGAAATCAGTACCTCTAAAAGATAACTACACTTTGATGTTCACTGCAATGTTATTCACAATAGCTAAAATATGGAAACAACCCAAATGTACATCAATGGATGTACAGGTATATATGTTGTGGTACATATATGTGATAGACTGTCATTCAGCTACAGAAAGAAGTTTTGCCATTTGCAGCAACATAGATGAGCCTAATGGACATTACAATAGGTAAAATAAGCCAGACACAGAAAGACAGGTACTGTATGATCCCATTTACATGTAGAATCTGAAAAAAAAAAAAAAATGGCTTATAGAAAGAGAGAGTAGAACAGTGGTTAGTGGTTGTCAGGGGTTTTAAAGTGAGAGAAAAGGGAAATATATTGATCAAAGGGTATGAACTTTCAGCCATAAGATAAACATATTCTGGGTAACTAATATAAAACATGGATGGTGATTAATGTGTTAATTTGATTGCGGTAATCATTATACAATGTATATGTATGTCAAATTATCATTTCATATACCTTGAATATATCTGATCTTTGTCAATTAAATATTTATAAATTTAAAGATCTACAAAAGAAACAAATCCTTTACATTTCTATACACTAAAACAGATTAAAAGGGAAATTAAGAAATTAATATCATTCCCAATAGAACCAAAAATAAAATAATTAATAGTAAACTTAACCAAGGAGGTGAAAGACTTGTACACTTAAAACAATGAAACATTGATGAAAGAAATTAAAGCAGATGCAAATAAGTGGAAAGACTTTCTTTGTTAATAGAACAATTAATATTGTTAAAATATCCACACTACCTGAAGCAATGTATAGATTCAATGCAATCCCTGTGAAAATCCCAACATCATATCTTAAAGAAATTTTTTTAAATCCTAAAAATCATGTGAAGGCATAAAGACTCATGAAGTCACATGGAGAGGGGAAAAGGTGGCAAGAAGGTTTTATTTAGGAGGGAAGAAATGTGATTACCTGCTAAAGGTTACACTCAACAGGGAGGACAGAGTTCATGTTATAGATGAGAGAAAGAAGAGTTAGTTGCCAGAGTAATTGCCTTTAGCAGAGAGGAGTGGGTGGAATGTGGTACACAGGAAGAAGGGTTTGCTTCTGTAGATGCAGGATCAGGTCACCCAGTCTCAGGGGAAGTTAAAGGCAACTTAGTCACAGATGCAGGTCTATAGGTAATGGTAGTGACAGGAAATTGAGGAATTCTCACCTGCTACCTTTCTCAGTAAAACAGAAAGCAACATAATAAACAGAATAAGAATGGAAAAGGATTATTTGAAGATTCAGACCACTTTTTCTATAGCCTGAATATTTTTACCATGTACATAATTTACATTCATGAATATAAACTTTGGTTATTATCAAAAATAAAATATTTTAAAAATCACTTTTAGACCCCCTTGCATTTGGGGTTCCAGATGTTTTGGATGCTTCCCATTTAATGTACTCATAAGAGATTTGAATTTGTAGTAAGCTAGTTAGGCAGAAAGGTAGTAAGAGAGGCTTCTATTGCACTAGGGGCGATTTGACAGGTCCACGGTGATTATGGATCATCAACTACATACCAGGCACATGACAGTGTTTTTCAGACAACAGATGGCTAAGACTGTAGCAAGAGCAACCTCCCTGACAACATAGGTCTTCTGTGTTAGTCTGTGAAGCATCTGTCAACGTCCAGCTTGTAGTCTGCTCTTTTAGATTTTCCGGCTATTTTGTGAACACTTAATTCCCTATATTAAATGATGTTTGTTTAAAGGAAATGAACAAAGTGGACTTACCAAAATTTAAAACTTGTTCATTCAACATCCCACCACTAAGAAAATGAAACTCAAGCTATTCAGCTGGTAGAAAATGTGTGCAAGACATACATCTGGATATATTGTATTCATCTGAATATACTGTATATTGGATTATATATATAATTGCTTCTCAGCCTTCTGACTAAGATCAAGTGAATATATTGTACCCAGAATATGTAAAAATATATATATATAACTAGAATGATTTCTTCTCTGACACAGAATCCTAACTGGTCTACCAAAGGACAGTCATTATTGTACTTACAGTGAAATCAACTGGCAATAAGATCAAGCATACAGCTAAAAGTCATATAAATTTGCTAGGATTAATAATGACACTCTAGAAAAAAACAAAATGATTTTGTGATCTTTTTCAATAAAAGTAACCAGCTTTCTTTTGCCACTCTTTGCTTATTTATGGAAGAAAAACTGGTAGTTTAATACCTTTCAAAGTATACTTACAAGTATAATATTTCCTCTCAGTGATATTTTTCAACGCTTTGATATCTGCACAGAATCTTGAGTTTGTAGCCCTGAGTCATTTATGAACCTTCAGTAGAGGAATCATTCTTTTGCTTAAAGTAACAGAATGATTTCTTATTTCAACTGTAATAAAATTAAAACTCATAATTACTATGTAGACCATATGTTTTAGACACGACCAGTATCTCCAACTTTAAGTCTAATCATTTTCACATTAAATTACTATATTCCAGGTAACTTGAACTTTATTGCATCCCTCAAATATACCAAGTTCATTATCATCTTTGAGTTTTTGCACTACCTGTGCCCTCTGTCTAGAATACTATAGACTCAAATGTTTGCATGTTTAGTTTATCCAGATATGATCCAAAACGTCAGCTCCTCAAGAGGGCCTTTTTTGATGATTAAATGCAAATTGGTTACTCCCAATTCAGAGTCACAATCTATCATTTCACTTTTCTTTTTCGTTTTTACAGAGCAGTATCTCCTCCTGAAACTATGCTGTTTATTTTCTACTTTAACGGCTATTTTTACTAGGTTGTATCTCTTGGAGAGCAGACAAACTTTATCTGTCTTTTCAATGTTCTTTTACTAGGTTGTATCTCTTGGATAGCAGATAGAACTTATCTCTCATACATATTTCTTTCTTCTGTTCCTAGAATAGTCCTGACAAATGGGACGCATTCAATGATTGCAGTACTTGGAAATAAACAAATCAATTTCAATAAACAAATCAATTTCAGATAAAATTCTACAGTCTTTTTTATTCTTTTATTTTGCCCTTTTTTCAAGCTATGTGCTTATTAAACAGTTTTTTCATGGAAGTTTTCACTTCCTGGTTGCGAAGGGTATAAATGACAGGATTCAACAAAGGAAAGATCACAGTGTGGAAGAGAGAAACCACCTTGTCAGCTGGGAAAGCCCTGAAGGGGCGCGTGTAGATGAAGATGCCAGGTCCAAACATGAGGAACATCACAATGATATGGGTGGTGCACGTGGACACGGCCTTGTTTTTCCCCTCAGAAGAAGACCCTCGTATACGACAAAGAATGACTGCGTAGGAGGCCAGAAGCCCCAGGAAGCACAGGAGTGTCATCAGGCCGCTGTTGAAGACCATCAGAAGCTCCACCACAAATGTGTCGGTGCAGGCCAGCTTGATGACCTGTGGAACATCACAGAAGAAGTTGTCCAGCTGGTTTGGGCCACAAAAAGGCAAGCGGAGGATGAGGACCACCTGGATAATGGAGTGGACAAAACCCCCAAGCCACAGAGCCAACAACATTGCATAACAGGCTCTAGGGTTCATAACAGTTGAATAGTGTAAAGGCCGGCAGATGGCGATATAGCGGTCAAAGGCCATCACAACAAGGAGTAATCCCTCCCCTCCTCCAAGGAAGTGCAAGAAAAAGAGCTGAGTGATGCAGCCTCTGTAGGAGATGACCTTCTTCTCAGAGAGGAAGTCCACCAGCATCCTGGGAGCCACAATGAAGGAGTAGGAAGCATCCAGGAAGGCCAAGTTGCCCAGAAAGAAGTAGAGTGGGGCTGTGAGCCCAGGGTCTGACCTTACGGTGAAAATGATGAGGAAATTACCAGGGAGGATGATAAAGTAGAAAATTAAGATCAGCACAAAGACCAAGAGCTGAGTATCTCGAGACTGGGTCAGACCAAGAAGGATGAATTCTGTTATCACTGTTCTGTTCTCGCTTTGCATTTCCCTGGCCTGAAGTATATGAACAAGCAGAATTAATTGTTATTACTATGTCTTCCAACTAGATACTAATTCTACAGCTAAAAAATATTTGGCAATATTTTGGCAATATTCAGCTAAAAACACTTCCCATACCTCTCCTATTCTGAGTAAACTCCATTACCTTAATTTCTCCAAGTTTAAAATGAAAACAAAATACTGTTCTCAAAGCTACAATTTTATTCCCATTCAACCACGTGCTTCTACAGAATCATTTTCCACTTTGGGAGTGTGGCATCCCCCATGCTGGGATTCCTACATTCTTAAATCATGTAAGTTTCCTGATGGATACACAACCTAACTGCAAGTCTTTGAGTTTTTGTGGATATACTGTGTTTGAGTCTTAGCTCTTTTCTTGGGATTGACCCTTTTTCTCGTTGTCCACACAACCCCAAAATTTTGCTTGACATTTTCTTCCCTCAATTTTTGTGTAATTCCCAGTTCCTATATAGTAACTCTCTTCCTTGACTTCTGTCTTATCATCTGATCTGTTTCTTCTTATACTCCTCTGGTCAGACATCCTTGTATACTCTTTTCCCAGACTGTTCACCAGAATCCCAAGCTACAGCTCCACTTTTCACCTAATACAAACATAGTACTCCAGCTGTAAATCTGAGCACCACTCCTGTGGCTACTCCACACCTGCATGCAGCTTATTAGGCACTTTTTGAGTTTCAAATACTAATAAACTTGCAACACATTTCTTTCTCTCTTCCCCGTATGACACCCATATACAGCCTTTCAACAAACAATATGATATGCTACAATATAAAATTTGCAAGTATAATACTTTAAATTCATGATTTCAACTCACAAAATTATAGCATAGATACACCATAAGGAGCCATAAAGATACTGTAGTCTTCATATGATTGCATATTTAGAAGACCCCATTATCTCAGTGCAAAATCCCCTTAAGATGATAAGCAACTTCAGCAAAGTCTCAGGATATAAAATCAAGGCGCAAAAATCACAAGCATTCCTATACACAAAGAACAGACAAACAGAAAGCCAAATCATGAGCAAACCCTCATTCACAATTGCTACAAAGAGAAAAAAAATACCTAGGAATACAACCAATAAAGGACATGAAGGACCTATTCGAGGAGAACTACAAACTACTGCTCAAGGAAATAAAAGAGGACACAAACAAATGGAGAAACATTCCATGCTCGCAGTTAGGAAAAATCAATGTCGTGAACATGGTCATACTGCCCAAAGTAATTTACAGATTCAATGCCATCCCCATCAAGCTACCATTGACCTTCTTCACAGAACTGGAAAAAACCAACTTAACCTTCATATGAAACCAAAAGAGAGCCTGCGTAGCCAAGACAATATTAAGCAAAAAGAACAAAGCTGGAGGCATCACTCTACCTGACCTCAAACTATGCTATAAGGCTACAGTAATCAAAATGGCATGGTACTGGTACCAAAACAGAGATATAGACCAATGGAACAGAACAGAGGCCTCAGAAGTAATGCCACACATCTACAATCATCTGATCTTTGACAAACCTGAGAAAAACAAACAACAGGGAAAGGATTCCCTGTTTAATAAATCATGTTGGGAAAACTGGCTAGCCATGTGCAAAAAGCTGAAATGGACCCATTCCTTACACCTTATATAAAAACTAACTTCACATGGATTAAAGATTTACACATAAGACCGAACCCCATCAAAACCCTAGAAGAAAACCTAGGCAACACCATTCAGGACATAGGCATAGGCAAGGACTTCATGACTAAAACACCAAAAGCATTGACAACAAAAGCCAAAATAGACAAATGGGATCTAATTAAACTTAAGAGCTCTGCACAGCAAAAGAAACAATCATTAGAGTGAATCAACAGCCAACAGAATGGGAAAAAAATGTTTGCAATCTACCCATCTGACAAAGGGCTAATATCCAGAATCTATGAAGTACTAAAACAAATTAAAAAAAAAAAAAAACAACCCCATCAAAAAGTAAGCAAAGGATATGAACAGACACTTTTCAAAAGAAGACATTCATGTGGCCAACAAACATATGAAAAAATACTCATTATCACTGGTCATTAGAGAAATGCACATCAAAACTACATTGAGATATCGTCTCATGCCAGTTAGAATGAGATCATTAAAAAATCTGGAGACAGCAGATGCTGGAGAGGATGTGGACATATGGGAACACTTTTACACCGTTGGTGGGAGTGTAAATTAGTGCAAACATTGTGGAGACAGTGTGGCAATTCCTCACGGATCTAGAAATAGAAATACCATTTGATCCAGCAATCCGAGCATCTGGGTATATACCCAAAGGATTAAAAAGCATTTTATTATAAAGACATATGCACACATATGTTCATTGCAGCACTGTTTACAATAGCAAAGACTTGGAACCAACCCAAATGCCCATCAAGGATAGACTGGTGTAAAGAAAATATACATCATGGAATACTATGCAGCCATAAAAAAGGATGAGTTCATGTCCTTTGTAGGGACATGGATAAAGCTGGAAGCCATAATTCTCAGCAAACTGACAGAAGAACAGAAAACCAAACACTGCATGTTCTCACTCATAAGTGAGTGCTGAACAATGAGAACATACGGATACAGGGAGGGGAGCATCACACACTGGGGTGTCTGTGGGGTGCGGGTCAGGGGAGTGATAATAAGGTGTGGGGTGCATCCCTCTGCACCCTCCAGTGTCTATAAAGTACTAAAACAAATTTTTGTACTTCTAAAACAAATTTTTGTTTTAGTACTTTGTAGATTCTGGAAGGTGCAGAGGGATGACATTAGGAGAAATACCTAATGTAGGCGAAGGGGGGATGGACGCAGCAAACCGCTATGGTGTGCGTATACCTATGTAACAATGCTGCAAGATCTGCACATGTACTCTAGAACTTAAAGTATAATTTAAAAAAAAATACTGTTGTCTTATTCTTCCATTTCTAAGATGAGAAAACAAAAGCTCCTGTGGTTATATTAAGTTTAGAGTTTTATTTTTTGCTCTTCTTAAGTAGTAGGATAATGCAAGTGTACACTATTCAGTTTAAATAGATAAAGAATTTTTTAATCAAGCTTTCATGAATGAGTGCTCTTTTTTGTGCAGTTGAATAACTAAAAATAATATTGCCGGTCTAAAATCACTTCTGTATTGCTTTGATTTGTAAGTTCAACCTTGTTTAAATAAAAAGAAAAACAATGTGCATTGTGAAGAAAATTCATATTTAACATTCATATTTTTTCAGGGAGTATACTCATTCCAGAAGGTGCACATGATAATCCATGGAAGTATAGAAAGAACATAGTGATTTATCTATATTTAGCAGATGTTTAACATTTTATACATATCACTACACTTCATTCTTTTCAAAGTTCACTGCTTAATATTTATAATGGATAACATATTATTACAATGGTTTACATATACTTTATAAATAAATATGCATACATTTAAGGTTACATACTAAAAAATGTCTTATAGGAATAAATTTTTTAAGTTTGAAAATTGCTGGCCTACAACAAAATGCAAACTGTAATATAAAAGGATATTTTTCATATAATTTAACTAAGCAGCATATTTGTTTTAAGTAAGTGCTCTAGCACATGGGGTGCAGAAAATCTTTGACAGAAAATGCTACTGTGACATTACCTAGAAAAGAAAGACAAGAAGATAGAGAATGAGGGAAAGGAAGAAGAGAGAAACAGACAAGTAAAAAAACAAGCAAGCAAACACCAAAATACAGACTGCACATCTATATAGTGTCATCTTAGGGTACTTATCTTAAGAAGCATTAAAACTATCTGCTTTATGTGTCCCTAGAACTGAATAGAGTGGTTAACACAGAAATTTCTGGGTGTTACTAGAAGCCACAAGTGGAATTTATTAAAGTCATACTTTAACACATCATCATATACATATGCAAATACCACATGAACACATAGATATGCACACAAATACAAACAAACACACGCAAAATTTTAACAGGAAAAAATATTTTGTAGTCCATCCAAATGAGCTTTTCTGCTCATGTCTTAACCTTTCCCCCCATTGCCAGCCATTTGTCTCAACATTTATTCTACTATCTGCCTATATAAATACTTCCTTAGATCAAGAGCCCCTTCTCTTGTTGAGCAATAAAGGAGCTAGCGGGGCAGACCCCCTGTGCCATAAAAAAAAAACATATAAGTTGACTTCCTAAAGACTTAGTTTCTAATAGCCTGCTGTTGATCACAAAAACAGTTGAATAACATATATTTTCATGTTTTATGAATTATATACTATGTTCCTATAGTTACAGAAAAGAAAATGTAACAAAATCATAAGGAAAGGAAAATATAGATACTATTCATTAAGTGAAAGTGGATCATCAAAAAGTTCTTATCCTTGTCATATTCCCATTGTGTAGGCTGAGGAGAAGGAAGAGAAAAGGTTGGTTTTGCTGTCACAGGGGTGGCAGAAGTGGAAGAAAATCCACATGTAAGTGGACCCATGTGGTTCAAACCCATGTTGTTCTGGGGTCAACCGTACTTACTTATACGCTTTATGCATCCCACATGCTCACATAGAGTGAGGTATTTAACAATATCCCTGAGACATTTGAAGATTTCTGAAGGACTTTGAAATTGAAGATTATAAGCTCTTCCATTCTGTCTGTGTCCCAGCCTTACTGTTATTTTTCCACTGTTTCTTAACAGATGGAATTCGGTACTACTTGACATCTTTTTTTTTAAGTTTCTTCCCTGTCCCATTTCCCCCTTTGAGTTCTCTGTACCTTCTCTAAATGGTGGTTTTTGAATAGATGCAGAGACTAATCAGATGAGCATTCCTCTAAGCAAAATAAAATAAGTTTCTACCAAAAAAATCTATATAAGATGGCATCATCAGAGTGAAGTGTTCTATTTTAGCCAAATTAGTAGGGAAAGTTGTGTCAAAAGAGTCTGTACCACATCTTCCTCACTGCATCTCTAATCCTTCCTGCCATTTCAGCTAATTCATAGATTAGCTGGCCATGACGACATACTACAGAAACAGGGAAGGGTTCAACACATTCACAGGGTGGAGACACACAAACATCTCCAGGCAGCTCTGTGCGTTTCTGCCTGGAGTGTGAGCTGTGCTCAGACACGCTCCTGACGTCAAGTGTTTAAAGATGCTATGTGCACACTCCTCCTCCTTTTTTTTCTTTTTTCATTTTCTCTTTTTTTTTTTTTTTTTTGTTTTGATTTTTTTTTTTTTTTTTTTGTTGCCTTTTCTTTTCCCCTCCTCTCTGTTTCTTTCTGGCTCTTTTATTGTGTTATCTTTAAATACTGTTCTTTATTATTTTTTCTTTCTTCTCCCTTATATTTATCCATGTTTTTGCACTCTGAAATGTTTTCGCTCTCTCCTCTTTTCCTCTATGTTCATTACTACTCCATTCTACCCCATGTCTGTCTTGCTAATACATCTAAAAACAAAAAAACGAAAAAATCTCACTGTCATTTTCTTTCCCAACAAGACTGAGAAATGTGTCTGTTTCTCACCATCTTCCATTTTATAAATTTGGTCTACAAAATGAAAATGTATAATTTACTCTTCAGTAATAACCATTTACTTTTAAGTGGTATTCTTCTTGCAGTTGGCCAAATCTGAGTCATTTATCAGTTTTATAATATATATATATGTACATATATATATATTGCTTGTAAGTGAACCTGGTAAAAATGAGATGATTCACCTTTTTAAAAAAAAAAAAGAAGTAAATTTTATTAGCAGCATTCTAATGAAATAAATGTATTGAATAAATATTTCAAAAATAGGACTATAATATTAGTAGTTAGTAATAAGTTGCTGCTCAAAGTTAGTAAGTTATTTAAGTATAGAATAATAAGTTTTATATGCTCTAAAAAGTGTGAATCAGGCTGAGAACATAATCAAATATTTAATTTATACTGATGCTGATGATGACTGTATAAAGCACTAAGCAAATATATAACTCCTTAGCCAGAAAATTTATTCATCAATAAAATGGGATGGCCAGATCAAATGACTTCTAAATTCGATTTGAATGCCAGTTTTTTAGGCAATGTAATACCATAAAAGGATTCCTGGTTTAGGAATCATTTATCTGACTCTCATGCCTTGGCAACAATTAACTTATTGTGTGATTCTAGGAAAGTCACTTAGCTTTCTGAAGCCTGAGTTTTCTTTTGCCAAATAGATCAATGTATTGACTCTTTGGGTCTGATGGGGGCAACATGAGGGTCAAATGAAGTGATGATGGTCTTAACATGTAATTCATTCAAGTATGCTTCAACCAAAGTTGATCCTGAAAATACATAGATGTTAAAAGTAGTTAGATTGAATGGACAGAATGCTGCTAGATCTTTTGTCAATGTCTTTGGGTAAACCCTGGGATAATGGTAGTTGCATGAATGTGAGTAGCTAATAGAAGTTGTGGAAGGTCAGTAATGCCTTCATGTACAATTGCCGTTGCAGCTAGTGGTTTGTATATCAAGCTTCTTTCAGTCCTACAACTTTTTGTCAAAATTCTATGAATGAATGATAGAATCAGGTGGAACAGAAGAAACCTTCATACCTGCTGAGTGTGAAAATGAAGACGACAAGGACTTACCTTCTGCAAAATCATAAACTCTGTTAAGCTTTCCTCTGGAGCTTTGAGCCTACCATTTCTGCATCAGCCTCCCTTTTCTTCCATATTTAATAAGGAAAATAATACATATCAGTCATTTGTGTGATATTTGATTTTACAATAGATGTCAACTCTCTAGAGGCTACTGAAATTATAACAGAATTAAAGGCTTTGTCCACCATTAAAGTAATCCCAAGCATTAAAAGCAGATGGAGATCTACCAGAAGAGAGAGTGCATACTGCCCCACTGCTGAATTTAGACCTTAGCCTTTGGCTATTCCTGCTAATACTCTGACCTGTCTATTCAATTGCAATCTAAGATATCAGGTGAACAAGTAAAATAGTTGCAATAGTTTTTTTTCTATTGTCCCTTTCTTTTTGTAAGTTGAAGACCTCCAGAAATTTAAGTCTTCGGGGATCTTATGTTACTCTCACGAAGTAGCCACCTTCCGCCTCCTAGTAAGACTCATCATTTTTGACACTGTTCATAAATGTTCATTGTCACATGAGGAAACTTAGATTTTAAAATCTCTCTATTGTAAAGGAGAGAGTGCTTTTGGGATCTGAGACTACCACGAGCCACTGAATGCTTCCAAAGGGAGTTATTAGGTAAACTATATTAGTTATCAATTAAATAAGGGAAAGAAAAATACCACAGCTTTGCAACAACTAAATTTTTTTAAATGTGCCACATAATGCCAAGCTGAGTTACTTTCTAGTTCCAAAACAAAACCGTATTGTTAATAAAACAGAACCCTATTCAGAAACATATTTATTAGTCAAGAAGTAAACAGAAGTTTGAGATAAGTTAGTTTATATGTTATAATAAAATGCAAAAGGAGAAAAATAAATTAAAAAATGAGAGATTATTACTTTGTACCAAAAAAACAACAGGGCTAGGATGAGGCAAAATATATATATTTGAGACTAGTTATATTATATACATACACACACACTCAAATTTTTCAGTTAAAGCCTTCACCAAACTTTAGAGGGTGGCTGGCAAGATGACGGAATAGGAATAGCTTTGGTCTGCAACTCCCAGTGAGACCAATGCACATGGCAGGTGATTTCTGCATTTCCAAATGAGGTACCCAGCTCATGTCATTGGGACTGGTTAGACAATGGGTGCAACAGGAAGGGCGAGCAGAAGCAGGGTGGGTTGTCACTTCCACAGGAAGCACAAAGGGTTGGGGAACTCCCTCCCCTAGCCAAGGGAAGCCCTGAGGGACTGTGCTTGAGAAATGGTACATTCTGGCCCAGATACTGGACTTTCTCACGGTCTTCACCACCCGCAGACTGGGAGATTTTCTCAGGTGCCTATACCACTAGAGTCCTGGGTTTCAAGCATAAAACTGGGCAGCCATTTGGGCAGACATCGAGCTAGCTGCAGGAGGTTTTTCTTTCATACCAGTCGTGCCTGGAAGGCCAGCAAGACAACCCTTCACTTCCCTGGAAAGGGGGCTGAAGCCAGAGAACTAAGTGGTCTAGCTTAGGGGATTCTACTTTCTAATGCTTTTCCTTATCTTTTTATGTACCTGATTGCCTTGTCAATCTTGTACCACCAGGCACGCTAAATGCTCCCCTTCTAATGCCGCTTGCCTATCTATTGAAGGAGGGGGCAGTCATAAAAAAGAATGAGATCATATCCTTTGCAGCAACATGCAGGAAACTGGAGACCGTTTTCCTAAGTGAACTAACATAGGAGCAAAAAACCAAATACTGTATGTTCTTACTTTTAAATTGGAGATAAACACTGAAACATGGACACAAAGAAAGGAACAGGAAATAGCTGGGCCTAGTTGAGACTGGATGGTGGGGAAAGGGTGAGGATCAGAAAACTTTATATCAGGTACTATGCTTATTACCTAGGTGATAGATCTGTTCGCCAAACCCCCATGACAAGCAATTTACCTATATGACAAACCTGCACGTGTATCCCTGAACCTAAAAGTTAAATAATTAAAAGTTATCCTAAAACAAATAAATAAGGAAAGCAGAAAAAAAAAATCATTGTTTGGGGTCTAGTGGGCTCATTTGGAGATAAGGGGACACTGGCTTTTTGAATTGCCAGCATTCTTGCACTGGTTCTTTCTCATCTGGAAGCATTGGTTTCTTTACCTGTGGTGTAATTTGAGTATAGTCAGTTGGCTTGGTTTGTGGATGTTTTCAGATAGCCAAGACTTTGTGCAGTGTCTTTTATTTGTGGCTGGATTCTTTCCCTTGATTTCACTGGACGATAGCAGCAAAGGATTTTTGGTGATGAAGCAGTTTTGGCTGCCTCCAGTAGATGTCGCTTGAGTAATGGACGGTAGATAGGCTCTTGCTCAGGCCTGTGGTTCATTTGTGCTTCGTCACATCTACAGCCCTGGTCTGCGGCACCACGGGGACAAAAGTGACCCCTTTACCAGGTCCGCTCCTGAGCTTCGGGGGAACCCCCTCCGATCACCAGCACCGCACCCTCATTTGTTTGCTGGGTGTTTCAGGCTGCGGGGCTTCCTCAGGCAGAGGCCATGGCAGGGAGATGGGCCACGCCTTTTCCAGGCTCGTCCTGCGGAGGCAGGATGCCCCTCTCCACAGCAGCCCGGGAACCCACGCGGTTACCCTTCTCAGTGCTCGGAGAGTGTGTGTTTCTCTTCCCGCTCCAGTGTTGGACCTGGGGCGAGCTCGGGCTTTTTATTCCCTCCCCGGCTTGGGAAGGCAGTAGCGGGCGGTATCTCGGCGGTGGCGACGGCAGATATGAAACAAATGCTCATATCTGGGCCCTGTCTGGTGAACAGCAGCAGGCGTCAGAGGTTTGCAGGGAAGACAATCTGGCCTTCTCTCCCTAGGACAGCTGCAGTCAGGCTCTTTGTTTCCTGCTTAGCCTGGGGGGAGCAAGGGCCCTACACTGATTGACAGCAGAGAGCCTGTAGGTTGTCTCTGGGAGCTCTACCCCAGAGAAACTCGGGGTCGCCACAGAATGAAAGATCAGGTATGGGAGGGGCAGTTGTGCTGGGACCCCAGGCTGGGAGGCCCTGCCCAGTGAGGAGTAGCTAGGACAGGGCCCACGTGGAAACAGTGTGGCCGCTTTTCCCTGTGACGATTGTCCGTATGACAGCTCCTGTGCTCTTGGATCCCTCCCCAGCCACAGGGCAGCATGTCGGAGACGACAGCACCAGAAATCTCAGGCCTATTGTTGACAGCTGGGAGTTCCTTCCCGAAGAAATAGAGAGCTCTGACTGGCCTGGGTGTTCAGGTGGGAGCAGGGTAGCTGCGTGGGGAACCCAGGCCAGTGGGCTTTGCCTGGAGCAATGAAGCAAGCAGGGCCTGCAGTCAGTCTGCTCCTCAGCACCGTGGATACAGCCCCTATTCTAGGGGCAGGCAAGAGAGCTGGCCTTTCTTGGTGGTGGGACTATAGCAGCTGGCCCCAAGGCGCTCAGGGCCCCAAGGCCCATGGAGCTCCAGGTAGGCCTAGCTGCAGCTCTGCCCAGACTCCAGTCATCTCTCTGTGTTGGTCTGGAGGCCCTCCGGGCTCACAGGACATCTCCTGTGCTAGGATTGCAAAGGCCCATGGCAGAGGTGTGGGTCCCAGGAGGTTCTTACTCATCCTTTTCCTATGTTAGGGAGCCTCTCACCTGGCTCTATGCCAATCCTGGGTGGACTGCTTTCCCACATGGCTCCTTTCTGCTGTCCACGGATTGCAGTTGCTTCCTTGATGTATCCTAACATGGCCTCATGGACAATCCACTAGAAGAGCTAGTATTTACTCATCAGGTGTCTCCCCCTCCATGAGTGGCACATGATAGCTGCTTCTGGCACCTCTCCCTATTCTGTACTTTTTGATTGATAATACATGAGCAACATTCTCCTACATGCTGATCAAAATCAGTGGTTTTTATTTCTATGGTTGATTTTTAAGAATAAAATTATTTTCATGTTTATAAGCCTTTTCATTTTTTCCTTTGTTCATTGCCCACATTTCCTTCTATCTACCTATTTCATATTCATTTAAGCAAATTCTTTATGTATTAGACAAATATTTTATCATTTATATCCATTTCTTTAATACTTTTAATTTTTTATGCATGGATGCTCTCATATAATCTTTGAGTATGGAGAAAATATTCAATTTACATGTAAACCTTAGAATCGTGCAGAAAATAATCTCCACATCCATGATAGACATATTTTCGGCATTTTTCTGCCTTTTGCCCATATAAACTTTTTTCATTTTTACATATAATATACTCATACAAAATCTAATTTAGAAAAAGTAATGAGAGAGAGAGAATAACAGGAGAGGCACTCTCCACAATTCTCTTCATGCCAGACCATAGCTGATTGATGATTCCTTGAGCCAAGACCTGGGAAAGCGGCTTCTTGCCTTCTCCGTCTCCTGGTTGTTGCAAGGATAGGTCACTTAGCAGGTTCTACAGTGCTTTTCTGGCAACGATTTCTATAATAGATGCACGGCAAAAATAATGATCTTCTATACTTGAAACAATTTTATAAGTAAGAACCTAACTTCTGACATTAAACTCCACTATTAATACAGAAGTTATTAAGAAATTATTTTTAGACAACTAGAAAGGGTAAAAAAGCCCTCGAAAAGGCTGTTTTTAAAAAATAAAAAAGCAGCCCTTAAACTATTTCTTTTCTAACAGAAAGCAGCCTGAAAAGCCAAGCTGCAAACAAAGATACGTAAATTAGAGGCTTGCAGATGTAAATGCAGGTAACTAAGAGTCAGGTCCACGCCATATGACTCTTCCGGCTCCCTACTCCCTTTCCTGCAGCCTGGTAGAAGCCACACTTGCATAATAAAAAATTAGGGTGGCAGGGACAGGCTTTTCTTTTTTTTTTTTTTTTTTGAGACAGAGTTTTACTCATGTTACCCAGGCTGGAGTGCAATGGTGCGATCTTGGCTCACCGCAACCTCCGCCTCCTAGGTTCAGGCAATTCTCCTGCCTCAGCCTCCTGAGTAGCTGGGATTACAGGCACGCACCACCATGCCCAGCTAATTTTTTTGTATTTTTAGTAGAGACGGGGTTTCACCATGTTGACCAGGATGGTCTCGATCTCTTGACCTCGTGATCCACCCGCCTCGGCCTCCCAAAGTGCTGGGATTACAGGCTTGAGCCACCGCGCCCGGCCGGCCAGGCTTTTCAATGTGAATGACACACGTAGTCAAACAAATCCCCTGGGCCCTATGCAAAGCAGACACCACCTCCTTGAGCCTCCCAATATAACTGACTGCTTTCCCCACAAGTGGGGTTATTCTATTCAGAGCCCTCCTCCCTCTGTGTAGCGGAGCTGTTCTCCTTTCTTGCCTATCAAACTTTCCACTCCATGTGTGTAAATTCATGTCGTTAATCTGCACAGCACGAGACAACAAACCACAGGTATCGCTCCAGACAACGAAGCTGCTTCACTATGCTGAAAATAACTGGAGTGATTTATATTGTAATCTACAATATAATCTGTAGTACTAAATA